CCATCTTCGGGTTTAACTAGTTCTTGTCGCATTTTGGCTAATTCGTGACGAGCCCTTTCATCATTGCGCAGATCGCGTTTATTGCCAACTAAGATAATTGGGACGTTTGGACAGAAATGCTTAACCTCTGGATGCCATTTTTCGACAATGTTTTCAAGACTATCGGTGCTGGAAAAAAAATAAAACGATTAAAAAAGCAGAAAATCTTTGATTACAAATGAAAAATACTAACCTATCAATAGAAAAGCACATAAGTATTACATCTGTGTCAGGGTAAGACAAAGGTCGAAGTCGATCATAATCCTCTTGCCCAGCGGTATCCCAAAGTGCAAGCTCTACCTGTTTGCTGTCAACCTCGATATCTGCAACGTAATTTTCGAAGACGGTAGGCACGTAAACTTCAGGAAATTGATCTTTGCTGAAGACAATGAGAAGACAAGTCTTTCCGCAGGCTCCATCACCAACGATGACAAGTTTCTTACGTATCGCAGCCATGAGAAAAGGGGAGTGGGAAGATTGAGCGGGAAATTTGACTCCGCAACAAAATAATCGGTTTAAACAAAATATAATTGAATAAAATTTAAACTTACTTATATCAGATAACTTTTCAAAATTTATATTTAAAATATTATTTTAAACTACAATCTTTAAGTTTTTTAAGATTTATAAAACTGTTTAAAATTCCATTTTTGCATTAATCTCAATCTAGTTAAGTAGATTGTATTTAAGCTTATAGACTTTAATATGATTTATTTAGGCCTTCTTTTATTCCTATATTGTGAAAAATTCATTTATTAGAATTGGCTTGTATTTTATCCATGAATCTACTTTGCTTTTTTTGTTGTTGTCATTTAACTTATAATAATTTTTTGTTTAATATATGTTTTCACGATGTAGTCTATAAAGTTTACAATAGCTCTAATAGCAGCCATGTAAACAAATAACCCGTTTATCTAGTTACTCGTTATCCATTTATTGGACATTTATCGATTACTTAGCTGGATGAATAC